GACAATATAAACATATTTAAAATTAAAGGAATTGAAATGTACATTGTGCCTTGGTTTAGTGTCTGGAAGAGTCCTGTCTGGCAACAGGTATTACATGGACATGTCAATAACTATCTCAGGACTGTTAAAATACATAAAATGTTAAAACAACATGATAGTTGGCAATAGACTCTTTTTATTTTTCACTTTAAGTGAAATCATATTAAGGTACAATAATATACATAATTTATGTTTGTATGATGTTTAAATTGAAAAAAAATTAGCAAAAAGGTAACAATTAGACATGTAAACAACTCCAATCAAACATCTCCTCATGAGGATTTTATCCTTCGCTAGCATGAAAAGACGAAACTTTCAGCATTTAGCAGGTATCATGCACAACTTCAAATGGCATTTGATTAAAGGACGCCACTGATATACTATTCAGTTACATATTAAACATTTTACAAGTAAGCCAAAGTGCACATGCCTTTGTTGAGTCCCAATTAGAAGAATGAACTACAGTGCTAATATTTAACAATCCTCAGATAACGTATAATTTCTAATTATAAAAAAGTGAAAACATCAAGATGCAGAACAATGATGACCAGACATGTTCTTTCAAAAAAAAAAAAAAACATTTTGGCTTAAAAAGAAATTTTGGGTTCATTATTAGCTGTAGGATGAACCCCTGACCAACCTTCATCAGAATCTGTGTCAATTTATTTATAAGCGCATTTAAAAACAACACAGGTGACCTAAGTGCTGTACAAACAAAAAAAAAAAAAAAACATTTTGTGAGGTTTTTTTTTTTCTTGAGAGGTTTATTGAAAGATTTACTAATGTCATAAAGAAAAGTAATGCCTTTCAAAAGAAAAAAAAGATGCTTGTTTAGCTGCAAAAATAAAATAAACCTGAAGACAGACTGAATGGTATATGGTGAAATGGTGCCAGGTGAAAAGCTGAAATGCAACCCACTACCACCACGACGCATGAAACCTGCTAGTGAAAAGTAAATTTAAGAAACTGAGCTTACCTCAGCATGCATGTGCCTGCTGTGGTGTTGGAGTCGTGTCGTAAAGTTTCCCCACAGAGTCACCAGTCCATGCTATTTCCACTGAAGGGTGAGAATGAGGATATACAGAGCAGTCAGGTGGACATATACTCAACCTGAAGCAGCCAAACAGGTTCCATTTTAAAGAGCCATTAACTGTCAACAGACACAAACATGCGTTTTTGCATCATACGCCCTCATGAAACTTTCACACACCTTGACTACCACATGCCTCTGGCTCGCTGCATATAAACACAAATACACACGACAACAGACAAGAGTCTGTGTCGTGTCAGTGTCTGACCCACGTGTCTGTCACACAGCTGCACATTTCTTCCTAGAAAGCAAACAGATAGAGTATGCACGCATGGTAAAGCTAGCATTACGGTTGATTCCTGATTTTAAGGGACCAAAATACAAAATAAAAAAACAAACACTCCCCCTGACAACTTGATAAGTGTGGTAAGAAAAATTCTGACCTGAGCCAAGGGAGCGGCAGGCGTTCACCGTGTGAGTCACTCCGATTAGTCACTTGTTGGGGACAAAGACTGTTGTCTGATTCAATCTGGATTGAAAGAAAAGAGAGCTCAGTTGCATTCACAGAATTATATAATCCTACCTGAAAGGGTACAGCTGCAGCTCCATATGGGCTCTGACTGTGCAGTGTTTTTAATTGTTCTCAGGCAAATCTGGTGAATGAACTCAACATACATGTTTAATAATCAATAGCATTTTTATTACCAACGAATTTTTTACATTACAGCTGTTGACAAGCCAAGAAAAACAAACAACAAAAATCACTCCTGTCAAAATATACTCACCTGCAACTAAGCATACAAACATCACAATCACAACATTTAGATAAACTTTTTTTTATTAATACTTGAATCTAAATTTGATTTACAGCTCACATTAAAGCTGCCGAGATCATTCCATTATTATTTCATCAATTTAAACGATTCATGCTATCCTCCCTTAATTGTTTGACTGACAAATGTTTTATTATTCAGGTTGTCAGTTGCTCTTTGTCTTGGTCTTACATTAAAGTAAAATGCACTTGAAAATACAATTCATGAGATGAAGGGGATCAATTTATGACACATACAGATATACTAATATGATGATCAGCATGTGGTTATTTGATCAATGTCATATGTCTGAAAAGTCTGACGTTGATGCCAAAAAAATAAAATGTGTCAAAAAATAAAGTCAGATTGCTTTAAAAAAGTACATATAAAGAGAGGCAAACACACCCCAGGCTGAGTTCTTTGCCTGCAGCAAGCCTGAATCGTTTTTGTTAGTCTGTTGAATGACAGTAAATCATTGACAGAGAAGTGAAGTAAAAGACTCCGTCTGGTCATAAAAAGCCTGCATGCTTCTTCATAATAATAATAATAAAAAAAAAAAACACTGAGAAACTGGATTTTGTGTTTTCTTTGTACAGATGGTTAACATTAAGAGTAAAAAAAAGAAAACAGGATATAATGATAAAACAGAACAAACAGGAGTTGGATAAATTAAAACCAACTGTTTTGTGGCAGAGCTTTTCTCTTCAGTGTAGTTCTAAGATCTAATAAACCACCAACAGCCCTGTGCAGAAGAAAACTTACAATAAATGTTTTACATATATCTCATGAGACTTATATACTTTATATTAAGTCTCATACAATGTTGACCTCATTCAAGTGACCTGTATTTTCCACACTATAAGAATTAAGAAAACACAAATTATGACGACTGCTATGATTACTGTTCCTGCTATTATTGTAAATGGTACTAGAAAAATGTGTAATTCTATGAAATAGTACTTCCATAAGAACACAGTCACATCCATTTATAATCATCATCTTTGAAAGAAAGTAAAAAGTTTGGATGTGTTTCCTTGCAGACAAGAGGAAGAAGCAGCAACTTCATGTTAGTTCCACAGATGAGGATTCCCAAAACTTTGATACATCTACTCTCATTTAAATCTACAAAATATGAAGCACTTTACCTTCCATATTCATGTTGAACTTGGCAGATACAGAATCAGGTACTATTCAGTGTGTGAATGTGTGTGTGAATGGGTGGATGACTGGATATGTAAAGCGCTATATAAATACAGGCCATTTACCATTCAAATAAAATTCCTCATAGCCCTTACAGGTCTTGCAGCATTTTAAAAAAAATTTCAATAAAATGTTTTTTTTAATAAAATTCTAAAAAGAAGACATTTCTGTATTGTTGAACTGTGAATGTTTCTTATTTTCAGGTCTCTCTTTCTATCTAAAGCACTCAAAGACTGACTGAACTCTCTTTATACATTCAAAGATGATTCATAAAATGCTCCACATATCATTTGCTTCAAATGAATCCAAAACAAGATTATAAAGTCATAATTTCATATATTTAGACATTTTTTTCTACTCAGATTGCTACTGTAATCCCACTGCAACATTTCTTCTACAGCAGCGGTCTCCAACCTTTTTTGTGCCACGGACCGTTTATGCCCGACAGTATTTTCATGGACCGGCCTTTAAGGTGTCGCGGATAAATACAACAAAATAAAACTAGTACCGGTACCGAAAAAAAAGAAGATTTTTCATAACACGCGTGAAAAGACCCAGGAAAACAGAGTTAACGATAAAAACTATAACAAAATAACGCTGAAAACCGATAAAACCCTGAAAACCAGACATTTCACACCTGAGCCTCAACTCTCACGGCCCGGTACCAAACGACTCACGGACCGGTACCGGTCCGAGGCCCGGGGGTTGGGGACCGCTGTTCTACAGAGTGGTGTTTTGTTATAACACATCAATGTTTAGTGGCTTGTGGTAAGACCAGATCTAGGGCCAGGTATTTATGTTCATAATTCACATAAGTGCAAGCAGACATGATGTCTTATTTCATCAAACACAGGCAGTTGTTCTGAATAAACACAAAATTACTCCTGACAAGTTTACACGAGTCATTTACATATGGTGACGAACATTTCTGGCTGTCTGTCTAAATTAGGATTCAAATATAACAATAACAAAGTGTAAAAAGTAGCAGCTATTATACCAAATGGATTTGACTAATTCCCCTTATTTTAAGTTACTGTTTGTTTTTTTAATTTTCGTGACTGCTGACTTTGAAACCGAAGTTGGACATCCGAGACTTGAAACGATGGTTCTCAGCTATAAAAATGATGGAGTGCCACCTCTGGGTTCTCAATGAGCTGATGCCCCAAGTACAGAGTTTAAAGAATCAAAGTCTTGATGTTAAGTGAATGAACAAAGGAGCGGAAGATTTACAGACGGATTAATGAATTGTCTCTGGTGATGTGGTCTGAAAAAGATGGCAGATACAAGCAGCAGAAGGATATCTGAGCTGAGCTGATAAAGTGAGGATGGATTGGAGTGGAGCTGCTACTTCAGCACATCTAAAGGAGCCAGTTGAGGTGGTCTTGGGTACTTCCTGCTTGAGGAGACTTAATGGCAGACCCAGAACATGCTAGAGACATTATGTTTCTCAAGTGGCCAGTGAACTCCTTGGTGACCACTGGAAGAGTTGGGGGAGGGCTGTGTAGTTGTCTTGATTCAAGAATATGGCATAAATTCAATGAATGCTGTTTATGCATTAGAATAATCACATTTCCAAACAGCCTCGCTTTTGAGTCCAAGCTGTCCGTTCCTAATGAGTTTTTGCTCAAAGTCTGCAACTCTTCTCTGCATCAACTCAAAGCAGCAAGTTGTCTGTAAATGTGTCTGATCATCTCACTGTCCCTGATCACCCGCCAGTCTGTTAAAGATGGAGTTATCAGCTTGGCAGAGAGACACGGGACTGTCAAACTCCACCACCTTCCCAGCATGCATCACTAGCACACGGTCACAGTCCATGATGGTGTTGATCCTAATGTGAGACAGGCACACAAAACACAAAAAGGTGTTTCATTCAGAAAATAAAAAGCAGGAAGTTTTAGACTACAGTTGTAAAATAACATTCTGAAATGTGCTTTAGTGCAGGACATGAACACATGCAGTCACCTGTGGGCAATAGTGAGCACAGTCTTGTCCTGAAACTTCTCTCTAATGGTCTGCTGCAGGAGTTTGTCTGTCTTATGATCCACGCTGGCAGTGGCTTCATCAATACACAGGACCTAAATGACAACAAAAACATTGATTGGAAAAATGTTTTGCTTTATTTGTTTGAGCAATCACGCTAAAATATTTTGTTCTCAGTGAATATAAATAAATAAATGTCTGGAAATACAAAGTTAGTCGGTCTTCTTTGCAGTAATGTAGAAGCATAACGTTCACAAAGCTTTTGCAAATACCTTCTCCTGTACGCAGTCTCTTACAACCTACTTCCTTGTGAACAGGCGAAGGCGTGTCACATAATTAGAGCTAATCAAACCTGTACAGTTTGTTCTTTGTTTACAGCCTCATACTGTCACTGATGTCACAGAGAAAGCCACAGACTATTTTTCACCCTTTATTGTAATTCTGTTGCACCCTCTCACCATCAGTGTCAGTCACTCGAGAGGAAATTTACCGTCTCTGACAGTGGTCGGAGACGATGTGTGTCGTCGGTACAGTGTATGGTAAAGCTGCAAAACTCACCTTGGCTTGCGTCAACAGAGCTCTGGCCAAACACAGCAGCTGCTTCTGTCCTGCAGAGAAGAATCTTCCTCTTTCTCCCACCTCAGCATCCAGACCACCTGACATTCACGAAAACACACACAAAAGGCATGAGAGGCAGCATGAATCTGTCATCATCTACATCTTCATGTTGATGATCTTCATGTAGTAGCAGCTCCATTTCATGCAAATTTGAACCTTTATTTTAGGCTTTTATGATAAATGGCCCATAAAGTAAACAGGATTAATACAAAGATAACAGAGGAGGAAAGAGAACTCAAAGATAATAATGTTAGGTTCTGAAACACAGTCATCAGTTATCAAAGTATGTTTGCCAGCCGTTGGTCAGTGGATCCTTAGATTTATTCTGTGGTACAAAAAAATACTTTCGATCATCCAGCGTGTTGACTCAAGAACCATTTTTCCAGTGCAAGTAGGTAAGAACCATTTTGTAACTGAAGCAGACAGTCATGTGAGCAGACAGGAATGGAAAAGGGTGGCGTCAAAGGTGCCAAGCAGACACACCTTTGTAACAAAAAAGACAAAACACTGCAATTCTTCTGCTCTGTTTTTTTTTTTTTTTTTGCCTGTCCCGTTTGGCTCTTTTGCCATCAGAATTGTTGTCTAAAGGCAAAGAAAGATGCCCAACGGATTTACTTTACCAAATTGACCATCCCAGCCTTGCCGTAATGGTCCATTTGATTCACCTTTTATTGTTTA